TCCCGAATATAAACGAGCCAGCTGCGGCTGGAGCGGCGGCCTGGGCCACAGAAATGGCCGTGTCTCCAGATGCCACAGCACAGCTGGAGTAGCACAAGCGGTGGGAGCTGTGGTACCCGTACAGCACTTGCCGGTGGTGGTCTGCAGTTTAAGAGTACACAGCATAAAAGAAGGAAAACTGACCAGTAATTTTCAGAAAATTGCTGTACAACAAAACAATTCTGATGACTGAATGCTTCTGTTTTCCTGCTCGAGTATGTCAGTGATAGGCCCTGACCCCATGGACACTTACACAACATTGGATGTGAATAAAACCGACTGCGTGAGGCCCTAAGTGTCACTGGGTTGCAGCAAACTATTACCAGTCATACTGCTCACCTGCGTGTACCATATACCACTTTTAAGCATGCTTTTTAATTTGCTTTTCAATATTATTGAATATCAGCAGTGTGTTGGTAGCAGATAAGATACATTTCCTCTCTCAAAGGATTAATAATGCACTAGTTACTGTGCTTGTCTTCTTTTCTCGCACTTATAATTAAGTAATATAACAGAATTTAAAACAAACTTATTCATTTACTGTTACACAGCTGCATTACAGAAGCTTGGTAGAGACTACATCACCTAGAACAGCTTCTAGGTGTTCTTTTCCTCTTTGATACCCATTTCCCACCGCACACTGGTTATTTCTGGCGCTTAACTTTGTTTCTTGCATTTCCCAACAAAGCTTCCCTGTTCTGGCCAATATTAGGAGACGCTGCCTCTCGGGCGTGAACGGACGATGGCACCAAATGGTGGGCGTGGGGCTGGGAGTGGCCTTGTGTGCAGTCCCAGTCGTGGAGGTAACGTATCAGGAGTGAGATACACACAGCACCCGCTCGTTAGAAACAGTTTAATATTCAAGAACACTTGCTTAGCATTTTGCAAACTAGTACTTACCCTCAGAATTGTATTCCTTCTTGGGGATCACAGGTGTTTAAGCCATGTAGTTGTTAAGGAAGAAAAATGAGAAAGAAAATGTCTACCTTCAAGAACACCTTGCAAAAACAGTTCGCTTGTTTTACAATGGCAAAACAGCAGTGAGAACTAGGCTGTCCAGCCTTGTAACTCACAGTGGTGCTTTTCCTTACCGCTATTTGTTACTAATAACATCCACATGAAAGTCAGTGTAAAGATCACGCAAATGTCTTGTCTTTCAGAAACAGAACTCGGTTTCTCTCAGTAACGATGCCTTGATTAAAAGAGCAGTTTCCTTGGTAACAGACAGCACTTCTACACTCCTCTCTCAAACAACATACGCATTGATTGAAGCATTGACAGAGTATACAAAGGTAAGCTGAGAGCTTACACTCTTTGCTAGCAAGTCAATACTGGAAATACTAAGTTATTTGGCACTAAGTACACCTGTTAAACCATACTTAAAATGGACTTTGTTTTTTTATGAATTTTAATAAATTCATAAAAATTTATTTTGAGAGATGTGGGGGTTTGAAGATGTCAGGTCCCTAGGAAACAGTGGGGTAGGGCTCACTGTTTGGAAGTTATTTTTAGCTTTGTTAAACTGTTGCTTTGAGCTTGAACTTAAGCCGAAATGACCCATGTCTTAGAACTGGGGCTAAAGAAACTCGTAACAGATATTGGATACCTGCGTACTGAGTAAGTAGGATACGCCACCCTGTATTCTTAAGTATTTTATTTACCTTCTGTGCCCATTTCTAAGGCCGTGAACTTGAGTTTCATCAGAAGAATGGAGTGAGCCATATTTAAGTCTGAAACAACAAGATACAGTTTTAATTTTATAGATAAGTGGCAATTTGAGTAAAGTATTTGCGTTCCAGTTTACTTCATTATTAGTACAGCAAATATATAAAGCACTACTGTAGGCAGACAGCCAATGCTGTCAGTGCCTCCGAAACTGCCGTGAACTTGAGAACAAAGCACCTTTGGAACCATTCAGCAATTTTGCTAATTAACACCAGTTAACACTGAGACAACATCAGAGATGTACAGATTGTCACGTAATTGTGTGAAATGATTCCTTTGCAGGCTGTTTACACACTGGTGTCTCTCTACAAGCAATATGCAAGTCTTCTTGGGAAAATGAACTCAGAAGAGGTGGATGCGGTCTGGCAGGTGGTAATAGGAGCCAGAGTTGATGTAAGCAATCGTCTCCCTTCAGTCAACAATCTGCCTCTTAAAACTCTGCTCAGAAAGTTCTCGTCTCGCTTGCTCATCTTTTCACAAAGGCGCTGTTTGGAAGAGCATTCAGATACTGTTACATCTAGTTAAGTAACACTTTGTTTTACTCCTAGATGTTTTTATACCTAAGGCTGGAATCCAGCTGGATGACAGCGTTACGTCTTTCAGAGATGGCAGCAGAAGCTGCGTATCAGTCAGGTAAGCACAAGCAGAAATACTGAGAATTTCTTTCCCCTAGCATTTAGGCAGTATTTACCAAATGAGAATGGAATTGAGAGAGACACAGAATATACGTTCAGTTAACATACCAATTTACAGCTAGTGCCTGGTTTTTAGAGATGCTGAGAACTTACATTCTTTTATTGGCTACAGGTCTAGTAGAAGTGTTCCAAGAACCAGGCCTGGAAACTTCACATGTGGTTTAGATCAAGACCAACCATGCCAAAAAAATGTTTGAGGGAAGCATTTAGTCATTTATAAATGCAGTGTTCAAACACGGTCCAGGGAGCCACAGAAATAAGGCTACCTAGGGGGTCCAGCAGGTCTTTCTAGCTGGATTCACTTTTATTAAAGAGTGAGAATATTTGCCTTTCAGTCAGGAAAGATAATAATCTTGGTCTTTTCTCCATGCATGCACACTTTCACAAAAAGCGTAGAGACTTGATAGCTCTGAGATTGAGTTATGGGCTGACGTATGGTAAATCGCCAAAATGACTGGAGTGGAGAAGGGTAGGAAAGCGATGGGACACCCTAACTCTGTAAGTGCCTGCAAAAGGCACAGAATCTGTAGGAGTATGGGAGGAGAAGGGATTCTGAGTTCAGCAGTGCCACAGACATTCCCGCTGCTGGTAGGTGCCGGGACAGGACAAGGACTGAAAGGTCCTGGCACGCGATGACTGGGCTGGGCTTAGTTCTCAAACCCACTAGCACAAGCTGATTGCTCTGATCAGACGCTGGCTGTAACCCACTTGGGTGGGAAGAATTCAAGGGGCCGTATTGTAGTTTAAGGTAAATGAACAGTAAATGCATTTAGCATTAATATAGCCCAAGAGCCATCGAAACACTTAGCAAAGCAGATGATAATTATAGACAATTGCTTCCTTAATTGAAGGTTTGTGGAGTGCTCCTCTAACCCCGTGTATTTAAATTACTACTTTTCAGGTGCAGACCAAGCCTCAGTGACAGCCCGCAGCCACATTCAGCTAGTGAAGTCACAGGTGCAAGAAGTGCGACAGCTGTCCCAGAAAGCAGAGACCAAGTTAGCTGAAGCTCAAACAGAAGAGCTCATAAAAGCTCAAGGAGAGGAATCTGCATTGCCACAGGGTATTTTAGGAAGTACAGAGGCAGGTGAGGACCCTTACCTTCGGGAGGACTGAAAAGAACTTTAGTGTCACCGTAGAATATGTGAGAGTCAGTTGCAAATTGAAGGGTCCGAAACTTTTAAGTGTGGGATAGTGGGAAACTGCTGAAATAAGCCTATGATTCCATTTTTTCCCCCAGGCAGGATTGCTTTACAAATCAAGTCAATTCCAAGTATCTGAAAGGCCTTGATCTTGTTTGTAACTCACCATGTTTGTAATACTTACGGATTCAATTATTTAAATGTTTAACTATGCAAATGTGAAAATTGCTATCAAGGATAGCTTGTTGTCTCTCTCTCTGCTGGGAGAGTCCTACCCCTCATTTGATATGTTTGTGAGAGCAGTCTTAATTTAGAGGCTAACTAGGTATCAGCCAAAGAAGTGTATTTAAAAGTCATTATTTTTAACCTGTGAAGTAAATGATGTCTATTAGGAGATACCTTAATTAAACGGTGCAAAAGCATGTCATTGCGAGTGTGCCCATTTGTGTAAGAGATTAAGCATTGTTTTCTCTTTGAACTTAGAAGTTTGTAACAGAGCCGAGTCTGGCAGCTGCATCAAATTACACTTAATTGCAATCAGGGGAAACATTTGCTGTAGAGCTGAAAACTTTCTGTGGAGTTACCCAGGCTCTTCTTAGTGAAGTTTTGCAGTTCAGTGCAGTAGCCTCTTTCACCCAAGAGTCACCGCTTGTAATGCATCTGCCCTCCCCAGGAAGCAAAGTCTTCCATTTTCAAGATGCTGTGGTTATAAACAAAGTCATTGTGGCAACTTCTGCATACTTCTTTACAAAGCAGCGAGCAAAAGCAAGTTTTACATATTTGAATGCTTTCCAGCACAAGTGTCAGGAAAATAATCTTAGTTCTCTCTTTTTGCAAGCTTAATGTTTCACTGCAGGCTTCAAACACACAGGTATCTTTCACTGTGTTCATTTTCTAACTTGACAGCTAATGTGAAATTTGCAATATTAGCTGTATAGACACTGTAAACTTAAGCTGAGATTGCTTTGTGGAATGGAATCCACTAGAACTTTATCACCACTGATTTGAGTCAGTTAATCCCCGTTCATCAGGTTTTGTAAGAAAACACATATTAGTCATAGGTTTTTCCCCACAAATTAGCATCTGATGCACTACGTCTGTGTCAAGGTTGCTGTTACCAAGTTGAGTTGTGCTTGACTAGGAATTGTTTCAGCTGTAGCATAAGCCTTTCTATCTGTGTCTCATTTTGCCTGCCTTTTGAGCAAATGCAATCTCAGCTGCACAGCACTCTACATTTATAGATTAAATAGTAAAGAAATTAACAAACTACCTTTCCTCGCTCCTGCTCCTCACTGGGTGCTGCTGTGTCCAAGGAGGATGGCACAGTCTGGAATTACAGCTCACAGGAAGATGGCAGTGTCTGCTCTGCCAGCAGTCGGGAGGGCCCAAACACAGCTTTGGGCTGGAGCATTAGGAAAAAACCCACTGTCATGAGAGGATTCTTTGCAGCAGTGGCACAACCACGCCCTCAAGAGCCAAATGCAACTTCAGGTCAGCCTCTAACCACAACTGCTCCAATTTGTTACACGCTGCAGTTTTAAGAACTTCTGCCAAGCTACTGACCCAAATGCACGTACGGGTTGTGTTCTTTTCAGGATGCCACAATAACTCTACTCGGATGCTCGCATGGCAGAGATACGTATGGCTTAAGACAGATGAGCACTGCTAGAGGAGTCTGCAAAGCAGCCCGTTCTTCCCCTTTTAGAGCCTGCTCCCAGCCCCCTTGTTGCCCCAGTTTTTGTTTCACTTTATGCCCTGCTCTTACTTCCCAAGACCCAAGCTGTACCGACACACATCGAACCTTCAGACATGACAGGAACCAACTAGTCAGTTCAGTCAGGTCAAAATGGGAGCGAGGAGTACAAGGGGCTCTATATTGCCTCCAAAACGGGGTGGAAAAGAGCCACACACCTTTATTAGGAAGTGAGAGTTGCCTATCGGGGGTTAGCCCATACACCTAAGCCCACAACAGACATGACATCATGCTCTACATTATGTTACTGAGTTTGCATTTGGAATCATCTAGTGGATCAGAAAAATGCTGCCACAGCAGCTCACAGGGTACCATGGTACCCGCTCTGTCCAGTCTCTTCTCTAGAACAAGCAGCAGTGCCCAGAAACTAGGTTTTGCTGCTGATACTCAGCCTTGTTTACAAAGCCAACATATCTGAAACTACGTGTAGACAATTTCTCAGGTACAGCTAATACAGCTAATTAATCCCTGTTAGGGCTGCAGTGAGAAGATGCAGTATCAGCTTGTACAAGACCACACTGAGGATGGACACACACACAGGCTCACCCCTTGGAAGAGCAATTTTTTCAGACAAACACCTACTCCCATCTGGCACAGAAACAGCTCGCGTGATAGTTGCGACTCCCGCCACAAGAGTCTAGGTCACGCTGTAGGGCTAAGCTAGAACTACACCTGGTGCTTTAGAAAGCCAAGGCAGCAAGGGATCAAACAAGGACCAGCAGTACTGCCAGGAGTCCCTCAGCCTGAGGTCGTACAGCACTGCACTGCACTGGAAGGCAGGGCAGCCAGCCTCTCCAGGGAGCTCGTCACACCTCTGGTCTCGGGATGCCCTCGGTCTCTCTGCCTAAGGACCACAAGCAAGGACCTCCTGGAAGCATTTCCTGAGCACCTCTGGAAGCTCCAGCTCACATCTGGTGGGCAGTGAATGCTGGGCAGCTGGCACTAGACCACAATGACAACAGCACAACACAAATTGCTCCAATTTCTGTAATCACACACTTCCTCTCTACCCTCTACCTTTTTCTAAAGCTTCCAGGCTGCTTCCTGCTCACGCACAGCACAGCAGCTTCCGACCTAGCAGCAAAACACCCTCAAGCTGGTAAGTGTCATAAAAATAACACCAAATCTTAGTTTCATATTTGATCTTTCCTCAAATTGGCGACTCCAGCACACTCATAGATTAATCACTTCGGTATTAATACATCTTGTCTGGACAGGGGCAGAGAATGGCAGCTGCTCACAGCAAAGGAAGCAGTAAGTATCCATTTCCACATAACCTCATCCTCTTTAATATCAATGACCCCTTAATGCAAACACCCAGCACCAGATCTCAGCCTTCTCTGGCTTTTAGTTCTTTTAGCTTTCAGTAGACGCAAGAATACTCCTGTGAAAACACTTTTCAAAACTGTATTTTATTTATACCCAACATTAAAACAACAACAAAACCCAAACACCTCCCACACAACATGAAAAGCTACAGCCACTATAACTACCACTGTGATTATTCAAGATATATTGCTCCTTTCAAACCCAATCAGAAAGTGTTTGTGCAAAAGCTTCCAGTGCAAGTAAACCTGTAATAAACTTCTGTAAAATCCAAAGGGCTTGAGTCAAAGCCCAGTCCCTTGGATCATCATGCTGTGTTCAGGCAATACATTTTTGAGGCTTTTTTTTTTTCCCCCACTCCACTCCCTTTCTCCTCCTGTCCAGGAGGACCTGAAGGATTGCTGGCCCGGGAGAGCAGAGTTGCGCTGCAGTGGACCCAGCAGCACACACTGGCCTTTCTTCCACCCCTTCAAGTAATTTCAAGTGCTCGGTCGCTCATTAGTCATCATTAGCTTTCCTACACGAGACTGAATTGGGCTGGTGGTCAGACACCAACCTTGGCATCGCGGAGCCTCCATAGCAGGTGGCTCCTCACTCACATCCCTGTGCAAGTTGTGACTTCCCCGGGCTCCAGTCCGGCTGGGAGGAACCAAGCCGAGTCCCCTGTGCCGTGTCTCACTGAGCTACCGGCCCCATCCCCACCCTGTGACAATTCAACTGCTTCAGTAACCCACCGATAGAAAAGACTTACTGCAAAACAAACCCCTATGGCTCAAGTACAGTCTGTTAGTAGAGGACACATTTCTACCACAACCTGATTTTTAGTTTAAGTACCCTGTATCTGTCACCAGTCACAATCCCGCTGTGCTCATCAGTAGCTTCTTTTCCAACCCCTTCTGTAGTTGTACGTTACTGACACCGCACACCTAATGCTGTCATCCTTTACCAGTGTCCACATGATCCACATCTCAGTTGGGTTTAGTTTGTGCACAATCATCAGCTCTTTGTACAAGCACGGATCAAAAGGATTGAAAGGTCTCTGGATCCCGAAAGTCTTAAAGCCAGCGTGGTTCTTCGGGGTCACTGCCATCTTTGCCAGGCACATTCCCACAAAGACATCATCTATTGGGAAGAGCTCCGTGTCCTCTGCGGTGCTCTGGAGGTGGCGCACTGTCTCTCTAGACATCACATAGCCCCCTCCACCCGCATAGAGAGGATAGAAGGGGGCTCTGTACATGGACTCTGGAATAAAGTATTTGACCTTGGTGTTCCTGATGGGCCGGGCGTTGGCGATCACATCCCCAACAAAGAGATCCTGTTCGGGGTCCAGTTCTTGGAGGAACTCAACAATGTTGTAAGTGTTGACAAAGACATCATCATCACCCTTCAGCACAAACCTGGCGTGCGAGCAGTCCTCCATGAACCAGCGGAGGAAATGCAGCTCCTTGAGGGTCAAGTTGAAGAAGTTGTCAACAAAATCCCACTGCAAGATGTCATCAAACTCCTGGCTCTCATAAACCAGCAGCTGGTGCAGGGGCTGTACCTGGATTTTGGCCTCCGAGCGCCCTAGAAGAAATACCAGCCTGATGCGCTTACCACTGATGGAGACCTCCTTCCCCCATGTGTTCCTGATTGCCACCCGCCGGCCTATGTTGATTGGGGAAGACTTGATCGCCAGCAAGAGGAACGTCTCC